TGTAAAGGATGTTCCGGTAAGAATCGACAATATATGAAAAATCGAAGGGCTATACAATCCCATATAGTACATACCTTGAAATCAGCGTTTTTCGGACCGCTCTGAAGTGGAGAAAAATAGAAATTTGATGAAATCATACATACAGTTTTAACTAGACCTCCCCGTTCAATATGAGACACTAGCGAAAGAGCAGATCACTTCAGGCGGTGTCAATTTGGCTCCTACCTGTCCGCTTCCCGATTGAATCTCATCTCTATTAGACGTCCTGACTGGTGAACCATGGCATGGACACATAGTAACAGCCTTTTATTTATTCATCTTATCATAAACGAACCCTGCCTTCATTTTTCCACATGGATCGTATTTTTATTAGCTTCGCACGATGTCATCACGTCAATGAAAAATCGCTGGTAAAGAGAAATCACATACATTCTATAGAATGCAAGCGTCGTCTTCAGCCACTCGTGTAAAACAAAAAACGAGAATCTATCCCGTATGATCGACAGGCCAATGGTGCGGCTCGTACAGATCTAAATCAATACCATTCAAATTGAAAAGAACAAACGTCGAACGAGGGGTTTGTTGAGGGGTCGTTGTTGTTAATGGTTGCGCCCATGATAGCGGCGACGATCGAAGCAGCATGCTGATCGTAGGATTGTGATGACAGATCGTTGTCGTTCTAGTGGCTGATAACAAAAGATGTTGTAAAGAAGTTTTTATTTCTATTTGGTAGATGTTTGTCGACGCGATCGTTGTTGGGGGCAGAAGACGACTCAAGCTATTGTGAAGTGTGTGTTTCACTCGATTTATTCAGTCGAGGATTAGTGTTCAACGTGTAAAAATGATAATAATGGTCATAAACAATGTGGCCTATATCATTCATTTGCGCCGCGATAGCAACTGATGACCCAACCGAGCGCGTTTCATGCATCTAATTATTTGTTTATCTAATAAGCCGTTTCATTCTTTCCAGTAGGCAATCTACAGTGAAAATTTGGTAGCATTTCAGTCTGCAATTGGCTTTCTGCAAAAACCCGTGCTGTAAGCGCAGGCCTGTACTCTCTACTCCACCATGTTCTGACCCTTACTTTCCATGTGTGCATTTGTCTTTTTTTTTTTCTTTTTTGGAGTCTCTGCCAGTAAAAAATACAAGGACCGGAGAAGACGACTCGTATCTGTTGTTTACTTACAGCCACCTGTATACTACCGGCAGCTTTTACCAACTCGAATCCTGGCAGAAATCGTTTTCAAGCTGAACATAACGCATTATTCGTACCCAGGCCAGGCCATTAGTATTGGAGAAGACATTCTTTCACACTAAAAAGTATCACTGCTCAATTCGTGCACAGGAATGACGAAAATAGATATCGGTGGTGTCGATGCGGATTCGGATGTGGAGCTGATCGATTGGTCAGTGTCGCTCGATCCCTTTTAGGCGCTTAGGGATGTTTCTTAAGAGCTCAGACTAGTTTCCCGAACTCAGCTGTGAATGTCCCTGAAAACGACAGGGAGCATCCGATACGTCCACAAGAAACACAAAAATATTAGGAACAGCAGCGACAACGCTCGAGAGGGTCCCGCTCCGTCGCTCTGACGCTCGGCCACAAAGCTGCTACTGCGTCGACGACGACCGAAACAGCGATAACTATGACAACCAGCAGCAAATGTCCGACAGCGGCTGATCAGGCCGAGGCGTCCGGCCGCTAGCAGTTCTTTCGATGACATTAGCAGCGCAGCGGCAATAATTGATATTTGCAAATCGTTCGACTGTGACCGGCCACTACGGCGTCAAGTTGTTCAATGATCGCGTTATGCCAGGCGGATCTCGGTGATGGCGACAGCCTTTCGACTCCGTCGGATACCAGTAGCAGTGTCCTACTGCCGTAAATAACTGAGCATTGTCGTCAGGGCGGACGATGGGACTCCTTCAGAAGTCAATCTCTGCAGCCAGCCGAAGAACATGTGTTCGATTTGATAGTGAGTCAATCAAGATATTTGTTCGAGGCACGCAGCGTAGGTCTATAAAAAAGTATAACTCAATTGATTGCTACGCACATTATTACATTGAGCAGGTTTGATCTATTGACGCCGATGGTGTGCGTGTTCGCTTTTCCATAGAGTTCACTGTGCGATTAATCATTTACGGGACGATTTGTCAATCTGAACAATACGTACTGTTTAAAGAACACGGCTTGTAGATAAGCAGTATAAATGGAACGCTTTTCTATAATTAACTCTAGAATATACCTAATTTGGCAGTAGATTCTTAGTTTGCATTTCTTCTATAGTTCCGCTTCGTTGAAGATTGTAGAAAATCGGCAACGGTTACCGTTGTGACGATACCAAACTACGATGCTTATGCCAAATAGTACGTGTCCATTAGTGTTGATTTATTTTAAGTTGAGAAGTTAACAGGTGATATTATGCTGCAGCGGCCCAACTTGACAAGTGATCTGTTCTGGATAGAGACGGTTAGTGCTATTTTTACTGTTGACGGACGGCGGATGTTGGCCGTTTGCCGACAGCGTCAGCTAGGAGACCTACCAACGTCAGGCCATAATCTGCAGTGATAATGACAACCATAGCAAGTGCAGTAGTCTCTCGCCCTTCTCCGATCCACCTATCTTTGTTTTAATTCTTCTACGCTTCTTCGCATCGTCCTTTGTTGTGGCAGCTCGAAAGGCTCGATCTACGGGTTAACCTCGTAACCTTCATTAGAACACTGCTCCATTTTTTCCAAGCTTCCGTCATCGTCGCTATTGTTGGGTAAGCGAAAAGCAACTTCGGTGGTTTCGGCGAGGTCCTCATGGCTAGCAATGAAACACGTCCTCGCCGTTGTCGGAGGCCGGGACCAGTTTCTACCCTTGTGTTCTGTTTCCATCGCTTTCAGCGACGCACTCATTTGTTGGCCACCATCGGTATGATTTATCACTCGCTGTGTTACCATGGGTCACTATTCGTTCGAGAAGACCTCACACAATTCCGCTTAGTCAGATTTGCTGTGGGCAGTATTAACTCTGTTTAACGACGTATTGATGATGTACATTGAACCAACAACGAGCAAGTTCAGGACGTGTATGGGTAAATGTCAACTTAATACATTTGACAATAAAATAGAATGGTACTGATTCTTCGTTGGCATTCTGCTGCGGTTGTTCGTCATGTTTCTTCCTTGACAACGCCGACCACTGCAATTTTTCTATGGTCATCATTAAACGTTGGCCAGCAGCAGCAGCGCCATCATTCGCTGTGTCGTCGATCTGTGTCACTTCGCGCGTCATCCCTCTATTTTAACAAGAGCGTATTACTGCTAAATCGTCAATTCCGAGGACGACGAAGTATCAATGCGAACCTTAGCGCGCCAATTTGGTTTTCCATTGAATCTTCGCTTGTCTTCGTTCCTTCTGCGCCACTTGAAGATGCATGTTTTTATCCTCGCTTCTCGAACTTTGGGAGGCGCTAAACGAATTTCGCAAACAAAAGAAAACAGTTGCCCTGATTAAGGATGCGCTATAAAGTACACACAGAGTGGGGAAGTCGTTTGGCAGTTTTCTGCAACCGCACTTGATCTCCATAATAAATTCCCTCCTTGAGCAAGCGTCAACAAAGCAAAAGAGACGACCGCACCTGAATAGCAACGAAACAAACGATCTAACTTCTAGTTCTTCTGAAGATGAGCTGCTTGGATAACGCTAATTTATAAGTAAGTATTCAAAGTGCTCTCAAGATTGTGGTAACCACATCGGCCTCATTTGATAACATCGAGATCCAACAAATACAGCGACAACCAAGCGAACTTAGTCAATGTATCTGATTTTGTCTCCTCTTTATTGATGACGAGCTGTTACTAAGGCTTTTTTTTTTTTATTTAAATGATAGCTGACCTACTAGTAAAGGAATATAGTTCATGTACAATTGTTTCAAAGCATCATAAGGGAAATAGTGTCGCACTATCTATTTTTGCATAGTTCTAGTTGAGGTCTACACTGTTGATAGCGTTCCGGGAGGGGTATATAGCGCGGCGAGCGAATCTGATTGTGCATGATATTTGTTCAGCAACAATATAATAAAAATTCTGACTTTTTTTTTCTAGTTGTTGGTGTTTTTTGATCCTAAGTATGTTCCGTTATGGGTGCTTGGCGGATAAAACGATCGAGCCACCACTCGGGCGTATTGATCTAATTGACACGCTTCCTTGGATCACACCCATCCAACTCTGTAGAGCTATTGACAACGGAAACATTCGAACATTTCTGAACATAGAAATAGAAGGGATCATAATGGCAAATGACAGTTAGGAACATGGATAACGATCCTCCTAGCCTCGGCTTACCTGAACTTCCCACGGTGAACGATTAAGTCGTCAGTCACGCCGCCTAGACATACATGCATATGTGTATTATAAAATAATGAAGATTACGCATTATCATTATTTTACAGCATGATATACGATATGGAAAATAGACGGGGGGGCGACGAAATTTGACCTTCTGCCCGGGCTTCCTTCTTCCCAGACCCCTAGCGTCGACGTTATTAATGTTGTTGCCGCGTCAGTGGCAGCAGCAGCAGCTTTAAAATGTTAGAAAAATCTTCAACAAAACGTCACACGCCGACCTTATCTGCATACAGCTATCGTTGAGCTACCTCGTCAATAGAAAAACTGATGAATGGGACGCCATAGGGTCAATCGTTTATCTGTCGAGGATTCCCTTATCACTGGGCAATACGACTGCGATCTTGAATAGCACTTAGCTCAGGACACTTGCATAGTAATAGAGCAACGCCTATGCTAAAACAAAGACGAACAAGACATCATTCAAAATAATAGCTTGTCAAGATAAACTCCCGTAAGCATGATCATGGTGATGGTGGTCGCACTATATATATATATATATATATGGGAAAATCATACTCTCTATAATTTATGTACTCGATGACCAACAGAGTCTCACATGACTACTATCCGCGTCGTTACGATTACTGCCTTCTGATCTACATCTGTGATTTGGGCGAAACTGCGTAACGAGGTAAAACCTGTATTATCTTGCTCGGTTCCTTATACGCTCAGCATTACCTTTTGTCTCCGATATGTTTGTAGGAACGAGCAGATCTTCTCGTTCTCATATGTAACCTGTCTCTTAGTGCTATATGTGGTATACTCTGGTTTATTGGTTGAACTTATTTGCCTATTATGCTACCAGTGTTTCACAGTAGGCGTATGTGGCCTTTTTCGCTACGCTATACAACTTTATATATACCATTTCGAGTTATTAACTTTGTGCTAGCATATGGTTCAATTTGACGGCTGACCGTGGGAGTGAATCTAAGTGTGGCCTGATCAAAAAATGATGGAATAATTTAGCTTGCGAAACGCGATTACCCAGACGAAGACGCCCATTGCGGAATGATTCAGTTGTGGTCGATTTTTCTGTGATGTGCTTGCTACCCGTGACCCAATATGAGCAACGATTTGAGACGGCTAAATCGCAGAGAAATCAGACAGGACGAGTAAGAGATCCTGTCATCGTTACACCTGTCAGTCAAGCAAGGCTCTCCATGAGCAGGAAAAAGGAACCCCATAGACTTGTCAGCCCTGTTGCTTACTACTCGTCATGGCTTCCGTCTAGTGCTGATGGGGTAAGTATTGACAACCGGCAAGGATCGTGCTGTCCAAGAATGATCCTCGCGCTTGTAGAAATCGAAACAGCTTGTAATTGTTGCTTGTCCTGTGATAAGAGCTCCTCAAACAAACCGTGCATCGAAGACTTGTCATAAGCACAGCATTGTCGAAGGCAAAGAAATCAGAAGAAAACATGAGAGTTTAATGGCGAGACGTCACGGCAGCAGCAGCAGCAGCAGCGCGGGCGATAACAACAACAGGACGAAAATAAGTGATCTGACATTTATTTGTTATTTGATTGTATCCATGAACGGATCGCAACGAAAACGCTTACCCCAAGTCACTGTGCTTGATTGAAGTAATATGGCAGCGGGACTATGGTCGCTTGTTCATAACAAAAAGCCAGATACTAAATTCAGCGACATAACTGCTCCACACTTTACACATTCTTAGGACGAAACCGCTGCCGACATCGGTCCGGCGATTAGATTACCGTAATGGTAAGATACACCAGGACCATTTGATGTGTCCTGGCACAAAGGGTCCTATCTGTTGGAACGCTACAGATTTGTCGACCAAAACGGCATTCAGCTGAATTGTTAGAATCGTCGGAATACAAAAGGTGATCGTGGAATCTATCCCAGTTTGTCAACAGCTTTTTGTTTTCACTTGCGAAAACTATCTTCGTATCGTCACCAAGCTAAAATAACAACGAGGTGCTAGCAGCGTTTCGAAATCCCTAGTAAGAGCCGACACTTGAGATTTTACCCTCTACTTGACAACATTGTATGTATATGTATTAGTTGACTTGTTCATTTGGCATTAAGGGCTTTGACACTTTCATTCATTCAACTTAAGTTATCATTGGTCAACTAACTTGCCAGCTGAGAACAACGACCAGATAGTCTCAACTTTATTTCTTCCTCTCGCGTCCTTAGTCCATGCGTGGTACGTTTGTCGATCTGTCGTGATTGTTGCTGTAAGGTCACGACAGCTGTGGTGGCGAGAGCATCAACAACAGCTAGAGGACTTATGCCACTCAAGTAGCTCGGCCGTCTAGTCAGTCGTTTTCGGTAACGTGACGGTGCCGATGGTCGTACGCCAAAGTGGGCGGGCGCTGAACTGAAGAAACCTGGCTGCGCTCGTTGGCTGTTGGAAGTAATACCCGATTCTCGCAAGAGAGAATGGGTTCTTAATCCCGCGGTGGCGACCGGGTGGTCACCGCCTCTTCGTGCCTGTAGTCATAACACCGGCGAGGATATAGGGCGACGCAGATTCGAGAGGAAAAGAATTGAATCGTTCAGTGTAGCTTAGTCGGTCGGTCGGTCGGTCGGTCGCTGCAACAGCGCACGAAAAAGACAATAAACTTCGTTGATGAGTGAGTACTACTGGGGTACCGCTGCTATCGGTGCAGCATCGTAGTGTAAGCGGTACATACCTCACGAGAAGAGAGGCGCTCGCTAATACGTCCGTAGGCTGCAGGGGAATGGAGTTGGCAATTGGCGACTGCCCATTCAAACACATACACACACGAGAATCAACTCTCACATAGCATGCACACAATTATCATAATGCATGTTCATTGTTTTCTGGCGTGCTCAACGCTCTTTGTTGCACATATATATACATCGTCGTGCATAGCGGGGTGGACCGCTCAAACTCGTTGGCCGTTTACAAAGGTAGGTGCAGAGGTGTACAGAGATGCTTGCCGCTATTAGGTCTCGTTACGGTCAATCGCTTCATTGCGAAGCACGAATCATCTCTCCTCAGATAAATATTGTCTCATAGACGACGACACAACTGGCTGAAGAACTTTGGCTAATCGTTGTTAGCGGTCAACGGTGCGCACAAAGGATCGTTGCATGCGTACAGGTCTATACAACAAATTGTTGTAGTGAGAAATGGAGATTGTTCGTTCTGCGCCAATTTGTTCGAATTTACTTGTCAACAATGCCAGTTGAACATGTTTCAGACGACGGGGGTAGATATGAGTGATGATGAGTGAAATCAAAGAACAGATGTGCTTAGGCTCAATTGGACATGCACATGATAGACATAGCTAATATCATTCGTTATCAAATGACGATAAGCGTTAAGTGTCGATGATTTGGTAGTTACGAGCGAATTGTCAGAATAGTAGATTACCTTTGCTACCCCCCCTCCCCCCCCCACGCCCACGATAATCACGAAGAGACAACTCTAGCCCATCGATTTTGTTGCTATGGCTCGTTATGGAGGAAACAAGACCAAGTGTCATTGCCTTTTACACTTTAGTGTTTGTCGGTTTAGCGTTGTCTGCTTATCAGGGGGTGTGCGATTTTCATTGAACAACATTGAAGATGAACAGGAGGTGCTCGCCCGTAGACATCACGGTCTCGCGGTGTCGAGGTTCGCTCTTTTCCCTCGTTAGCAATGAATGAACTGTTTAATCAGTTCTTCGTCGTCCGTTTAATCTACGCCTTTATCTAGTTGTTGACCTATTGAATCGCTTATGAAAATGGCGTAAACAAACATGCACATAGCTACGTATAAGAGGTGTACACGTAGTCAACGCAAGATAGATCCTCATTTACGGGTATAATATATATATATATTTATTCAACTATTGCTTCAATAGCGGGCGGCGTACACGGCAGCCAGCATCACGACTGCGAGACGGAAAGAACAAAAGCTGGAAGCAGGAAACCGTGTGGAGTGTGGTTTTCGCTGCACCTCGGTACATTAACAACGGTTTTTAATGGAACGCACTGCTGTGACTCCAGCCACATACATTAGATTCAATTTCGAATGAATGAATCCACCGTAGACAAGAGGCAATAACACGGTCAAGCTATAGCTTTCTGCTCGTCGAAGCGAGCGACAGTTAGATAACGCTATACGTTACTGTTAGGACAAGCCACAGACACTGGAATGAATGAACAGCCAGACACAGGCAGACGCACCCTGCGATCGGGACGGCAAATAGTATTCTACTTGCTCATCAACGTGTCCAAATTAATTTCAACTTGACCATTATGACCTGACGCCATTGCTTCATCAAAGAGCCATCTAGTCGTCAGTCAATGAAGGCGAATCATATGAGGTACCCCTCCCACATTGTTTTCAAGTTGCAGAACGAACAAACCGAAAACACAAGAGAACATTTAAGAACTAAAACAGCTAGGCTAAAAAAAAAAAAAAAGCTGAAATGCACATGTTTTTTTTTGCCGTCTGAAGGACGAGAACGCCGACACGCAAACTCCTCATCAGCACCGTAACTCAAATATGAACAGAAATTCTGTCGATACAAAGTAGACACCGACGTGATATCTCGTTACAATATATTAGCTACTGAGCCGTAGTCCTTGATCACGCTCTACCACGACTCAGCGACGATTCAACTAAAAAGAACCGTGATGGCCGAACAAAATAACAATAGCATAGACACGTAGAAGGGTTACGGTGCATCTCGGTCGCTGAAGCAAGTTTTGGTGCCTTCAAAAATGGCAAGTGCGGTGAAAATCACAAGCTATAAGGTTGCCGAGTCTTGTCGCCGTATCTCTTTCGTAATTCCCACATGTGTGAAGCACATGTTGACGTGTTTATTTTCTCCCGGTTCGGCCCCGCCATACGGATAAGCCGGCAGGATCGAAGTACGGCCAGTGCTTTTGGGCAACTCAATGATCTGACTTGGTACTAGTATGCTCGAAGCCCGACGATGACGGTCCTTAGTGCTTGTTGAAATAGCATATGTCTTCACTGAGTAGCCTATGATGCTTCGTCGTATAGCCGCTCGTCCGACGACGCGTAGAAATAGACTGCGCAAAGGTGCATAATTAGTAATTGCGCCGTAGAAGTAATGCTGGTGGCAATAATGTGTCTACCAATTACGCAGACAAAACGGTTATACAGCCGAGAGCGAAACAAAATGTGCCTATTTGTCGTCCGATACTGACAATCTGAGCTCTGAACGGATGATATTTTCAGTAGACAGATAGCAAGTAGAAAACGCACAACAATCGGTAGTGCCACGAGCCTGGTAAGCGTTATCAACGTAATCAGAGTAACTTTGACGAACGAGACCGACGGCTGATGACGCCATTTAGCGGAAATAAAACGATGGAGGCATTAAAATATACAGTTCATTGTTTCGATGAATTCTGCATTCGAAAGAAGGGGTATTAAAGAAACTGCAGGCAATACTGACGATGGAGATCAGCGAAATATAACAAACAAGGAACTAATAATATATTCCGAACTATGCAGGCCCAAGCAGAAGTGTCTTGCTAGTTACTATGAACAGGTGCAACGGCGTTTGAACAATTAGGTCTTCGCGGCCATTTGAAATATTTCACCAGCCGTCTTGCCCCTAGCAACTGGTCATTCTACGCTCACCTTAACCTACTCAAGAGTCCTAAGTAGAAATTCAATAGCGCGGGCCACTGACGACAAACATTAATGAAACTATTCAAATACATACACCTGTTCCTTCCGTGCTCCGCTTTGCCTCGCTATCCATTCGTCGTGGCCATATAGAATCGTATCTACAATAATTTTAGATCGGCTCCATATTCCTTCTATATGGTCATCTCTCATTCGTAACTCTCGAAAGCTGGTCGGGTTGGGAGACATTGGGTTGGGACACTAACGGCACTCGGTTGATGGAACGGCACAAGCGACCTGCATTGCAATTAGTTCGCTGACAATCCTCTATTAGTTGTATTGTCCCTGGGTCGAGTCGACACTGTGCGCTCTGGTGCAATACATTAGCCGGAGCTCACATTCTGTCGTTAGTGGGAACTTCGCAGAAGCATCGTCGATCGAGCTCTAACCTATCGGCGTCATAAGCAGTTGACACTGGCTTAAGAGAAGAGCGTACGCATATACAGAACATGTATCGTTCTACCTGTTCGTTGGCGCATTTGATGTCCGAGCCGCTGGGGACAGGGGATCAGATCGTGAGAGGGGCCGATCTGACGAACTTGGTGAACAGAACAGGTAGCGATTCCGTCCGTCACAGCCGCTGATGCGAGTGATTAGAATTTGCTTTCTCTCTCTGATCGCTGATCTGCTAACAACAAACATTCGGCGACTGACCCCTTTACCCTTACCAAATGGTTCTGAAGGGCCCATCAAGCTCATCAATTCAGCTATTAATATGAACAGCAATATGGATGAACGTCCCATGACCGCATATGACAGCAAGGCTGGCGAGTAAACGTGATTAGAGCAGGTAATATTAAAGGGAAATAGGAAAAAGGATGTGGGCGCTAACGAGTTCTGCTGTAAATTCGTAGAAGGCAGAGCGACACGTTACTTGGTTTGGTCGAATCTACCGGAGATAGGCAGCAAATAAGGTACAATTCTACGTATTTGGTTTATTTTAGAAGATCTATTGTTTAGAATCTATATCTACGGTAGTTCGATAGGAAAAATTGTACAGTACACTGTGTATATTCAGTTTACGTAGTTGTACATAGTGGATAAAGACGCTTATTTGGACATATTCGTGATTACAATTGAATGCCGGAGGTATAACTCTTTTCGACCCATTTCGACGGAATCATTGCAAAACTTACAGTAATACTAGTGAGCTATCATGCTTCCTTACATCCCCTTATGTTAAATATAAGTGCTCCGTGAAAGGTATACCTTCAAGGACAGCAGTTATATAGAAATATAATGTATCATTACGTTGCCTCAATAACGAAAAGGCACTGAAGTACGCTAATTATAGCAAAAGTAATTCACTCAATTATCCCTAGTTTGAAGAATTGCGTAAACATAGATCATGTACAGCGTCACCGGCATCCACAGTGATCATCGCAAGGCACTGAATTTGGCTTAATTTTGTCCGCCGTCTGCCACTCTCTTGAATCTATCTGCCCGTCCGTACGTGTCTTCGGTCCATCGCAACGGACCGCCACCATAAGCGTTTCTGTCTATTTTTTCATTTGGTCGTAGTCTTCCTCAGTCGCTCTTCTTTTTCACCAATTCTTCTGCCGTTTGCCTCTAGGCAAAATCAGCAAAGAGCAAAGGGAGCTGGAGACGGCGAGCCACTGCTGCTGCCGCCACCCGTTTGTGTATTGTTGAATGCAACACAGACAGCTTCGTTCCACCCCGGATAGGACTGGATAAGCGAAACACGTTTATTCCCATACGTATACGTAAACGTGGCGCGGCCTTCCTGTCTGCGAGCTTTTCGCGTTTCGGTCCTCGGCGTTTCAAGCAGAATCAAAAAGGTGCTTGTTTTGTTTGGGACTCGCCCGAACGCCCTGTAGGAGAATACGCTTAAACAGACACACACCGAGGCATACACGGAGAACGTAACGACGACGGCGACGGCGGAAAAAAATAGCAGCAGCAGCAGCAGAGAAGCGCGATAAACGACATCAAGAATCGTTAGCAGAGCTTCGACATAAATGCTTTGTCGGTAGCTTTCTGTGCTGTTGTTGTTGGTAAGTTGAACTTCGCCCGCGTAATGTTAATGCACAGTTAATGTGCCCGCCCCGTTCCGGTAAGCCAAGCTCGGCAACAAGAAATACACGCGAAGCAACATGACGAAACGGGATGCAGTTTGTCTTCTGGCTAGACTGACGGACAAGGGAAAGTTTAGAGATTTCGTGAACTTACTGTCGCCATCTGGCACAGTATAATAGCAACGTGAGATATTCTGGCGGAACTAAAATTTAACTGAATAAAGGCTACCTCTGTATACTGATCTGTTATGCGGTGAGTTGCTAGATTCTGGCGTCCTTTTTTCTGGCTGCGATAGGATAGGATAGGATAGGACTCATCTATTCACACAAGGAAATATGATCGTTTCTTATAGGTACATTTTTTGAGATAGTTATTACCAGTAAGTTTTCAAAGCTCTCCTTATTAAGTTGCTGATTTTTCGTCGCTAACGGCCATAGATTTGAAGCACAACTTAAGTTACCAGTTCTACTCCAAATGTGATTTGACCTGTTCTCGTATTACATTGTATAGCACGCCGTGAGCACTTGTCGATCAAATCTGTTTGCACTTTTGAGATAAGTCCATAATAAGCTTTTGCATAATATTGTTAATGGAAGAGGAACGTAACATTAGTAATAACGCTGCCAACTACGTCGGCAATAATTGGTAATGGCAAACGATCATATCAGGTCCAAGTATCGATGGTGGTCATCGGGCCGCCGATGGTGTCGGTGTTGCGTCCATAGTGAAATGATGTCGAACTTAACTGAAGGTAGACAGCGAACAGCGGCGATATTTGGTAGTATTAAGCAGAAGCCACGGCAGACGGTATACCTCTATCTAACGTTCTATAACGTGCCGTTACACGAAATGCGCTAAATAGGTATGCGCACGCCGTAAGGAAACTCGAAATGATCCTGGCTTTGTGATGACCGCCACAGGCCAGATATGAACAGGCCGTAGAAGAAAAATATTCAGTGTGAAGATGCCTTTCCGGAGGGGAAAAACGTAGGACGAAGACATGATTCCGAACCATTTAGAGATATTGGATAGAAAAGAAAAAGCAAAATAACGGCGAGATGAATTCGTGAATAAAAAAAAAAAAAAAAAATACAGAAGATCACAGTTGTTTTAGGAGTGGTTGTCATTTGATTATCTTGGAAATTATTTCTTCCTCTTTTTTTTAAAGCTGCGCACACTATGTTATCTGGAATCATTTGATGATGGGGAAATTTAATGAATATGCTACTCCTTAATAACTTTGATTTCTTTCTTTAATAATAATAATAATGTGCTCATCATCATCACGCGGGCTACGCGCGTATCATTACCGTTGGCACCGTTAACACTATAATGATGTGGAATAGCCTAAGCAATGGACCAGTATAATACGGTCCCTCTATTTTTGCTATGACTAACCCATGGCAAAGTTTCGAAGTTAACAGACTGTATTGATTTTGAAGAACAACTTCAAAATCATATAAAATATTTTCGACCGTACTATAAAAAAGTGCTTTGAAAGCCCTCGGACAGACATACACACTAGATCTATATTGCTATTAATATTGGTATGATCATCGCCTTCAATCTCTCTCATCCAGAAATAGACGGCTTTAACTATCTAGCCTTTTTCAGACAACGTGGAACGCCTAGTCTTCAATACTTACTTCAATACAAATGCAAGTTCTAACCACTTACTGATAAGCAGCGTCAGGATCAGGGATCACCCAGCTACATGTCGAAAAGAAGCTTGCCTCTCCAGTTAACTTGACCAGTAATCTCTGTTTGTTAGTTCATTCAGATGTATGGGGCTTTTTTTTTTTTTGGTATATTTTGCTGAAGAGATACGCGTACATTTGAGTTGTCCCTTTTTTCTAGCTAGATGGCCGCTAAGTCACATATGTCAGGCATAAAATAGTCTGCCAGAACAAAGAGCATGGCCGACAAGTATTAGAAGGGCTCCTGAATCACCTTGTTCTTCTCGAGCTTCTTCTGAAGAACCCGTGAACAGCAGGTCTTATATGACAAATAGATGAATAAACAATTAAAAGTCTGATACGTATAAATCTGATAACAATAGAATCGATAATAGCAAGTAGTTAAATAAAATGTTTGAATAAAATAAAATTATGAGGTAGAACGACTTGAAAATGAGTGAATTTCTTTAAAAAAAAATTGCTATTTATAATAATGTAGTCACGACAAAGACACAGATGCTGCCTAGGCTCGTGAAGAAATGCTTGTAGTCAAAACCGATTACTGGACGAAACGTCCCAAGACGGTTCTGTTGATCCTAACGTAAACGACGTTCGTCATTCTTCAACTACAGAAAAAAATCATGAGCTTATTGCCAACGTGAATAGTTATAATATGACCAGACAATTAAACATTCGTCACCAAACAACTGTAGGGCATTTCAGAAAAGCTGGCTATAAAAAAGACTCGATATTTAGGTGCCACTTGAATTGGCACAAACGGATTTATTCGATCGTAAAATTTCATAGAAACACAACGAATTGAGCCATTTTTAAAGTGCTTGATGATGAAAGGCGGATCAGATACGGCAATAATCTGGAAACGATTAAAATCGTGCTGGACGATCTATGGCAAAGCCCACGTTGACGTTATACAAATCGACAGAACGTATCCGGTGGACTGGAGAGAGGAACCAGGTTCTATGAGTTGCCACTGCTGCCTGATAGAACAATTGACGTGGACCCCTACTACCAACAGATAACAAGTCATTGAAAAAATCGACCGGAACGCCAAGAAAAATTAGATGGAAAATTCTCATGAATCTGACATATCGTCCAAATCATCAGTTGCAGTCTCTGAAGGACTCCCTTAATAGTATTGATTTTGTTGTAACGGAGGGATTGCAAAAATTCACTGTGACAATTTGTTATCTCCGAAAAAATGGCAAAGGATCATCGGCCAAGATGGCGCATATTTAATTGAGTACTGTTTTAAAGGATAAAAAACAAATGCCTCAGTTTTGGCTCGAACCACTCAAATCTCTCTCGACACGTATATATATATATATATATATATAAAATCCAGTGATTTATTTGCGGAAAAATGTAAGCCGGATTGTACGGGATTCGTAATAGCAATAATAATAATAATAATAAGTGTCTACACTTGAAGAAAGGGTTTTGCAGCGCAACCGCCCCCTGTCGATTGTTACGAAAGTATTACATCGACCGTTTTTCGGTGTACAATAGTATCTATATATGTGATTCATGTGAAGGGCTAACTGATGCCTAGTATTCGTGTAAGTTTACGTTACTACTTGAAATGGCTTCTGCGTCCGTACCGTTTCCGTTTATATATAATAATATCCTAGTACTTATAAAGTGTTGTTATTAGAATGATTCATATAAATAACTTTTTACCGAGCTCTGGTAAACGAAGCCCCAGCATTGCATATCGCTTTGGTATAATTGCAAAGGGCAAAATCTATCGAGGCACGATTGGTTCTCGTATGCATAGCATACTACCTCGTTGTTTCCTCCTAGGAAGTTGATGTATTACATAGGCGTGTGAATATAGTCGAATGATGGGTTATTATTTTATTCCCCCTGAAAGCAATATCGTGCCAGACCAGCTCGCCTCATATGGTTTGCAAACATATTGGTACAAATGTGGGGTCCGCGTGTGGCCATACGCGCTCTAGGGGGCTCATTGGACGTCTACTGCAGTTGAGTCGTCTCGGTCTCACATTTAATGCTACCCATGATAATAATAGTGATAATATAAAAGAATAACGCACGCATGAGGTACGTTGTACTACTGAGTAAACCACTGAGAGCCATTATAGAGAGCAGAGACAACGACTATTCGACTCAGATGGGCCCTGTATATGCACACATTTACACATTCAATTTGGAACCACACCCTATTGCGGTTCCTACATTCCGTATCGACTATCTAGATGATATGCTCAGCAAAATCAACCATTATTCGATTGGAGAACTGAATCGACCGAGAGGGATGAAAAACACTCAATGGGTACCAGCTCATCTTTTTATCAATCATTTATAAACATTTCATACAACATCGTTCAAGAGGGTGGGCTAAGCTGAGCAAATTTCTACGTACCGATTTCACTCAGAAGTGTTCGTTGACTGAACTGCTCGCGTTTTAATAAGATATTGTTAAACTTGTCGTCATTTTCAAGTATGCATCTATTTTTAGCCGAGCACAAAATGCACAGCTCTTGAACGAGTGGCTACACTCACGACTGTATTTACTAGAATGTTTAAGTTAAGATAAAACTTATTGTCCTCAAATCTGTAATCTCTGCTTTCCTTAATTGATGCCAACCAGTTCCTGGGCAGACGTATCACAATGGGAGGTTTGTCGAGGCGCAAACAATGGACGCCCTTATTCCCCCTCCCCTCATAGCGGACAGACGGCCGCCATATTTCGGCCGTCAACAACCGACAGGAGTTTAGCCATGACATTCAGTTAAGGCGGATAGTTACCAGCTGTTCTGGGCAAGGGTTAGTAGGTGTCAATCGGTTTCTCTTCGTTTGCGACAAATATTTAGCATAACGAAGGCGAAAAAGCCAGCAGATTCGTGTAGCTATATGCCTGAGCTTTGATACGTCCTGGCTTCTATTTCGACTTCTTTTGATATCGGCAAACCGGTAAAGGATGTTGTATTATGTATTGCAAATTCAAAAGCCAGCATTCTATAGCATTTCACTCTTCAAACCCTTCAACAAATTCTGTCGTCGTCGTAGTATCGTCTTGAGGCATGATCACTCACAAAATTCTTCCACGAATGAGTTTCAATGTGAGGGCAATGATGTTAATTGTTGGATGGTGAACCTGTTGTGCGTGTAGCAACGAGCTCATTCAGCCATCAGCTGCAACGTCGACTCGACTGAAAGCGAACGGCGCCGATTCCCCAACCCGTAGCGACGTATAGGATACGCCTCTTGTCAATTTGGCCGTAGGGACAAGCCGCTATGGAGCAGACGGTAGCAGCACGCTCGTGAGTATAGTATCTCCCCTTTTATGTTCCGTGGAATCCCTGGACCGTCTAGTCACTCCCTCGGGATATCTGCCCTGAGTAGATAGCTATATTAAACTTGAATATAAAACCATCCCAGAGCAGCAGCGGTAGCGGCAGCCCAATTGATGGTACGTGCTAGAGTTCATTGGCAAACTGGAACCGGGATCGCGATCAACATCGAACTCGGACGGGCGGCGGCGTGCATTTGCCAGCGATCCTGGTGGCTCGTCGTATC